TCCTATAGGCTATGGGAGTGTTCTGTCCGGGGCGTCTGAAAGTTTGAAAAACAAACAAACAAAACATCAACTTACATATACAGCAGGAATCTATTTAAAAATGCAATCAATAGTTTTTGTTCCTTCATTGATTCACACAGCGGTGCAGTAAACAGGCAAGCCAATGAATATTAGTTTCCTTTTAAACCACCAGCTGTTCTCCTCAGGAGGCTTGTGCACCATTTTTCAAGGTATTTGGCAGGTTGGGCTGCTCCGAGGAAGTGAGAGAACTCGCCACGGTTCTTGTGTGGATGCCGTCTTTCTTAATTGCTTCTGTCTCTTCGTGTGATCCCAGACTGATTCCATGATGTTGAGCTCAGAGCTTTGCGGAGGCTCAGACCATCTGCGGTGGGAGTCTGCTGCACGTTTGGGGCCGTTGTCATGCTGCAGAATCAATCCAGCAGCGATCGGATACTTCCCCGATCGTATGACCTGATGGATGAAAACACCTGTAGTGCCTAAAAACTTTTCCACAGTGCTGTACTTAGCAATCATGTTAAAATGATTCCATAAAAATTGTGTGAGCTCCAGCATAAAGTGTTATTTTCAGTGAAGTTTTCGTTTGAACGTCTAATTTACACATTTGTACAAAGTGTTATACAAACAGAAAAGTTTATCCTCACCTATTTAATAACGTAATATGTCTGAATAATAAAACCAATTTGATCAAGTAATTGAAATAATACTTTTTAGAATAACTATGCTCAACTATAAATGAGCCATTATGTAAACTTAGAATATAAACTCACAGCTTGATGTTACAGATTTAAGTCTGACAGAAATGGGAAGATATTGACTCAGAGAGAAAACAATATTTTCAACTTGAAAGTAGGCTGCCTGTAAATAAGAGCGCCTTTCTCCTTGTACCATTTATTTCGGGGCATACAGCTCCCAAAATACTCTCCTAAATCTTTTATGAGTTCCAGGGAGGTGTCTGTGTCTGGAGTGTTAACTCGCTTATTTCCCGCAACAACCACGGAGTCTTTAACCTTACAAGTCCCCAGAAGTGGCCTACTTTCTTCCAGCAGCTGACACAAAAGCTGCGACTTTGACAACGGTACAAGCGCAACTGACACTCAGTCAACACAGAGTCAGATAAACATTAAAGAGGAAGATAAACAACTACATACATCAGCACCTCCGTTTAAATCCAGTTTGGCATCCTGAAAATAGCAGAGTAACACCAGATGCATTGTCCTCATTTATTAACTGCAGTGAAATCTGCTCCCGTTTTAGATTTTGGTGATTCGAGAGGAAGCTTTGGACACCGGACACACGGGCTGAGAAAGATTACAAAACAGAACAGTTTGGCCAAAGCATTCAGTGCATGATGGCGATTTAAATTATTTACTTTTGGTGGTGTGTGCCTTCATGGGGATACCCTGACTTTGACCTTGACTGGAGGATCAGATGAGCCAACAGTCAGATGGTGTAAGCTTACAAACTAGCTCCTGAGTGTGTGGCTTAACTAATGAGGACATTTTCCATGGGAGGAGCTGAACTGAAGGAAAACTTCACGGGACTAAATTCCATTCTGCAGCAGTTAACCCCCAAATTATTCATATTCTTGCCACATTTTGATAGTTTTATTTGACCAATAAGCTGGAACTCACAGAAGCAAGCAACAAAACATTTTTTTACTAAAAACACAAAGTCTAAAATCCTCAGTTATCAATGCCAAAGCTGTTGTTTACCACCACAGCAACCACACCTTTTGCGTTTGCATGTCTCCACTAGGATTTTGGACCACTCCTCTGTTTCAGCAGTCTTGGAAGGTTTTCATGCCATCATTCTGGTCTTCAGTTCCTCCACAGACTCTCCACAGGATTCCAGTGTGAACCGTCCACTCCAACATGCTGAAATTGTTTCTTCTAATCCTGATCATGCTTTTATGGATGTATGTTTTGGAACATTGCCTCAATAGAAAGTCCAGGGCAGGTTTTTGTGCAGGCTGCCTGATGTTTTTCTCCAGAATCTTAATGTCGTCCTTTGTTCTAATTTGACAAGGCTGCCTGACCCATCGGCTGGAAAAAACAAAAAACAAAACACGCCTCCAAAGCATTACATTCCCACCACCATGTGTGACTGTGGGGATGGTGTTCTTGTGGGCTGACTGCTTCTCCTTTTTTTCTTTTTGCCAAAAAAAAAAAAAAAAAAGCCACATCCTTGAGTCCAAACAACTTCATTTTTTTGCAAAGGCTAGGTGAGCTTTTGTGTGGCTGTCATGGAGAACTTGAGTCCCTTCTGGTTGGTATCCATAGAAACGAGCCTTGTTCTGCACCTGCTGGAGTGCCTGCCTTGAGATGTTGGTACCAGAATTGATCAGGCTGACCTTGGTGGTAGTGTTTGAATTGGAATAAACTCTCACACTACCATTGTTGCCAGTGCAGGTGTCACTTTTGGCTCCCCGTGACGCCCTTTGAGATTATTCACAATGTGGAACTCCTCGTGCTTTTTGATTAAAAAGCAGCGCAGCTTTTGTGAGCTGCCACAATGCGCGACTCTCGCTTAGTAATGTGCCCTAATGACAAGCTGATTAGGCTTTTTGCTTTCAGCCTTGGCTTGCAACTGACTAAGTGGCTGGAAAACGACTGTATCACATCAAGATACCATTTCCATCCTGGGAGAAGAGGTGGAGCTGGTGGAGAGCTACAACTACCTGGACATTTACTTTGGACTTGAAGTGTAACACTGAGGTTGTCTACAGAAGGAGACAGAGGAGACTCCATTTCTTGAGAAAGCTTAGGCCCCTTAATTAATGTGTGCAGCAAGATGCAGCAGTTCTTCAACTAGTCTGCAGGTGCAGGTTTCTTTGCAACTATCTGTTGCGGCTGCAGCATGAGAGGCTGTGGCATTAAAACTGGCTGCCTCTGTGCTGCTCTGGAGCCTCTGGAGTTGGTTGTTAAGAGAAGAATGTTGCACAAACTGCTCAACGTGATGAAGAAAACTTCACATTCCCTGCACGACCTACTAATCAGATACACAAGTGTTAGTTCAACTCTGCATTTGGCACATTTAACTTTATGTGTCACGTTCAACTTTAACTTGCACTGTGAGAGTTGCATCTTTGTTATTCTACATTCTTTATTTAAATTCTGTTTTTGTTCATTCAAAGTAGTGTTTTATGTGTGTTTGGTGATATGTGAATGGCTGCATTTTCCCATATTTCCTTATCTAGCAGAGGAGCAGGATATTCTCAACATTGTTGCAATTTAATATGTAACAGAAAAAAACAACAACTGAGAAATAGTTAGAAAACATTATTAATATCTCTAATACAATGTCTCACCATTTATTTATTTTTTTGCCACTTGTTTATTTCATTTTCAGCCAGAAACCCATCAGTCAAATGAAATTCACTATAAATAAACCCTGGCATGGCTCTGAATTATTTTGGGCTTAACTGGGTGGCTTAACTAATGAGGACAACAGTTTTCCATGAAATGAGCTTGCCTCAAACTGCATGGGAATACATTTGCTCTATATACTGTACTGTGTAGTAACATACCTGTACAATATGCACAAATCCATGGCTTATTGAAAAGCAGTGCTAATAATATTGTTGTGATTAAATCGGTTCAATTGGAGCAGAAGATCTCATTTGAGTATCAGGTTAAACAAGCTGCCGCTGAATGAGAGTGTGTGTGCGTGGCCCACTTACAATGAACTGTGTGAAACTGAAACAGGTCAATAAGCTCCGAAAAAGAGGCTGGCAGTTTAACGTGGACTGATCTGATGCAGGGTTTTGATTTTAGACTAGAATTTGGCTATTTTTCATGAGTTTAATAACATCTATGTGCATGGGAAAGTCTTTTTTTTTTTTTAAAAGTTTCTTCATACGGTGTTTAGTAAAACAGTAGCTTGTTATAAAGTGAGCACTGTGGCGACGATCAAACTTTTGGAACCTAAACTCATCTCCACATGTGATCCTGCTCATTACACCACCCTCTTTTTTTAAGGCATGTTGAAGCGCTTTGTCGAAGCCGTCCTCCGCATCATTTCATTAGACAGCATTGATAATTTGAGACTTTCCAAATTAATTAGCACAGTAATAAAGTTTCTTGCTGACCAGTGGGGAATAAGAGCCTAATTAACCTATTTTCTGTATTAATGATCTGTTTTTATCAGACACATTCTAGACCAAGGACTAATGGACTCATCACATTTTAAACTTTGTAAACTTTATCCATCAACAATAGCACTGATGAGCTGATGGACATTTTTTTTTTTAAATTTTCATATCAAAGCTGGACTCACAGTGCATCAACACTGGCATGTCATCTGACCGAGGCCACCTTTAAAGAAACCATCGACATCATGACAAATAACAGAAGAGGGTGGATTTAAAATCTTAAAGGAGCACAGATTAGTACTGATTAAATCTATCCTTATCGAGTATTGATCCACAAACATGTTGATATCTCTACTCAGATCCACATATAACACAGCACAAGCAGTTGTCCTCATGCTGCCGGCTGTGAATTGGTACGTTCCACTAATCTCCTCCAATCTAAACGAGGAGAAAGCACTCGGAACATCTGTTTTCTCTGTCACGCCAGTAGGCAGGGGGCCAGTCTATCTGCTGTGCACCCGTTAATTTACCAGATGTCTACTGTGGGATTAGTACAGTTTTACAAAGAGCATGTGGCTCTCCAGCTGGGTCCCCAGAAAAACCTACTTAAGGGAAAGTGACACTAGCAAGTTAAAGAAACACTTATTGTGTATTCACATTCATCCATCAGGCTGATTTGTATTCTGACATTGAGCAACAGACGCTTAGAGGGAAGCAAAGAAGCTTAAATTAAAGAAAGAATGAAAATAAAAGAGTTCGACGCAAGACAGAAACAAAAGAGTGACGCCATTTGTCAGTTCTTATTGTTTCTGTTTCATACTTATGTATTTAATTTGGTCAATTTGTTTTTCATTGTCTGCATTAACAACTTGTGTTTCACCTCCTTTAGACAGCAACCAGATGAACAACATGGTCCAAGCATCGACTCTGATAAGTCAGCCGTACCCAGCCGTGGGACCGATCACCAGCCCGTATGAACAACAGAACCCCGTCAAGGACCTCAACAAGTACGCCACGCTCAAGGCTGTGGGTAAGAATTAGTTTTACGAGGAACCATAATGATGTAAAAAGCAGTTGCAACTCATCATTTGATTAGGTAGCATATTACACGCTCTATAAATACCGCTTGCATAATTAATCAGGCTTTCCCCGCTTCGTATAAGGAGTGTCGAGGCTAATTGAGTGAACTGGAAACAATAGAATCTGTAATATGAGTAAGCAAGAGGACAGATTTAGAAGTTAATGAGGTGGAAATTTTACTAAAATATTTCCAGTCAAATGAAATGTGGTTAATGTGTTAAACATATTATTAAAATTGTGCCAGCTGCAGCCATCAGGAAGCTTCACTGCCATCCCTCGCTTTTTAGTTTAACATTAAAATTATGTAAGACATCTGACTTTGGCTTTTTTTTTCCCTTCTTCCTTCATTTGCTTCAGACGAATCAAGAAAACTGTTTACATAACAGCGTTTTAGACATGTACTTCACAACTGCCTTTTGGCTTTAAATAGGAACGTAGTTGGTTTGAATCTCCGTCAAATCGCCGGCTGACAGAAATCCTTGTGAGTTAATCCATAGTCCATCAATGCCAACAGAGAGGAGAACTGACAGATTATTTATAGACGCAAGTTTGTTGTTCTTCTCATGTGCTAATTTTGGAAAGTCTGCAGCCAGCGTCTGTACAAGCAGCATCTGAAACAAGAAATAATAGCAACGACCAAAATAGACGCACTTACCAATGTGGTGCTTAATGATTCTTTTAAAAATGTCTTTTTATTGTTATTTTTAATTCTTCGCAAAATAAGTAAATAGAACAATTTGTTACCTCTTTAATGACCATTATCACAGTCATATGTGTTTAGCGCTTTTTTAAAATAATGACAACCAGCAGATGGTGATGGCAGTAAATTAACTACTACCAAATAAAAGTGTTGTTTGTAATGTAGGTCATATACTCAAGAACTGACTCTACACTGTGCTGTAGCTTTATAACAGAACTACAATGAAAGAAAATAGAAAGTTAATTGCTTTTACTGGTAACACACAATCAAATGAAATGTCTCAGAATAAAGTTAACAAGTGATATTAATTCCCAGGGTTTAAGTTAGACGGACTTAAATCATTTGATTCCTCTAACCGGAGCAGTGCATTGCTGAATTTAAAGTGAAATCAACATGAAGTTTCCAATTGAAATATTCGTTTCACCCAAATACAAAATGTAAAACATGATTTTCTCATTAGACTCGCTGTTCTTTATTGTTTTTCTGTAACCTAAGTGGAAGAAAATATGGGTCGAGTTGCAGCAGAAAACTTTAATAGAACATGGACGTCTAATGAACAATGCTGAAGGAGCAGTGAACATTTCAGTTTTTCTATTTTCTGTTCTGGTTTTATTTTAGCTTATCCACTTGTACATTCAGTGATGTATTGTACTTATATCTCATTGCTTTTCTACTAGGCACAGCATTTTTAATGTTGCATCATTTTGTTTTCTGAGCATTATCTGAAAACAGAATTTCCTTTGGGATGAATAAAGTTTCATCCTACCTAATTTTTGAACTTTCACCAAAACTAGAATACAAGTTTAAAGTGTAATTTCAAGGTCATAGAATCTACAAAAGTACCTTTACGAAAGCAAAAAGATAAAACTGTATTTTACTTCAACTACTGCTCAAACACACTTTTAACGGCGCAGAGATGACAACAGTCCCACTGTAAAATTAAAACCTTGTATTTAGTATTTACAAATTGACTTTGATTCATTTGGAGAATTGTGTCTGAAGTAATTATTTTACTATATTGATTTCTGGTGAAGAATGTTAAGTTTGTGAGAAAAATGAGTCGTGTTTTTGACTGGTTTTTCTGACACTTCTAATATGAACAGAGACAAAAACAAAGCCGGACTGTGTGTAGAGAAGGTGTTTGTAGATTTGCACTTGATGCCATTAGCACAGTGAGATGGAAGTCTTTTTATAGATTCTACCAGAATCAATTAACCGTGTTTGACAGACCTGGCCATGGACGAGATGACAGCTATCAGCATGCATGTAGTAGCTCCAATCACAGCTCGCTCTCTTTGTGATTCATACAAGCAGCTGAAGCTTCTCTGCTGCGAATCCACTGAAGTGCTGTCAAACAAACTGATCATTAGGGAAAATATAAATGGAGCGAATTTTAGCAAATGAGACCGGGAACAGGAGACAATCAAGAGCAATCAAAACACAAATGAGTGGCGGCGTGGTGATGGGATGTAACACGCTGCACATGGTGAACCACAAGATCCTCTGTGGCCCCAATACGTGTGCTAATCAACCAATAATGGATGTGTTACTGCAGCGGTCATTGTATGGATATGCTGCTCATCGCTAACGCTGTCTCTCGTCTCCATTCCTGCAAGTGTGATCCACAATACAGATGTACAGCAGAGTGCTTCTGAAGAAGAGATCACTAAAAAAGGTCATCTAGATGGCATTTCATTTTTTTTTTTTTTTTAAATCAGAGGGGGAAATGACAAAAGCTAACCCAGTAGCTTCAAGTGCTCAGGCTCAATTAGTGCTGAAGTGTAAAAAATAAATAAATATAAAAATACTGTTTTCACACATCGTCTGCATTTAATTGGGGACATAAAATCCCAGCACAGTGGTTGCTATGAAGAAATTACAGCAGATGATTATAGCAAACCAAATGCCAAAAGATAAAATGTACTGTGCAGTGGTCTACTAGCAAATATCAAAGCCATAACCAGAGTTGTAAGACAGAGATAACACAGAGATGTCAAGCAGTCAGTAGAATGAGGCTGTACGTGTGTTTGCTATATTTTCCATCCATCTATTATCTATACACCGCTTAATCCTCACGAGGGTCATGGGGGGGCTAGAGTCTATCCCAGCTGACTCAGGGTGAAGGCAGGGGACACCGTGGACAGGTCACCAGGGCCACACTTAGAGACAGGCAACCAAGCACACTCACATTCACACCTACGGACAATTTAGAATCACCAATTAACCTCAACATGAACCCACGCTGCATGGGGAGAATATGCAAACTCCACGCAGAAAGATTCCGGTGCCCCCACCGGGACACGAACCGGCAACCTTCTTGCTGCGAGGCAACTGCGCCACCTTGCAGCCCTTTATTGAGATCGACAAGAACGTATTACTGGATTTACTGTCAATCAGAAATATTTTTGTGCAACTCCTTGGACATTTACAGCAACTTTTTGGTTTGGAAACTATTGGAGTAAATTCAAATTCGAACAAATTACTGAGGCAACACCTGATGATTACAGAAACTGTCTCATGTGAAGCTTTGGTGGTGCTACGGAGCCACATTTCTGAAGAATCAACCCCTATTTTGCTTCCGTGCATGCTCATGAGGATGCACTTGAACATTGATATGATACATTTTCCTACCATTGGTTTCACAATATTCCATCACTTATAGTACAGGTGGCAGTGATGTTCCAAGAAACTTCACAATGTACCAGCAAAGACAGGGAAGAAGAAGAAAATGAGAGAAACGTGTTAGGATACATACACATTTACTGTTGTGTTGAGACTTGTAAGCAGAGATTTGTTATAAAGAGTAACCAGGCAGAACAGCAATGCACCTTCTCTGAGGTTTGTGCTGTGAAGCTAGATTAGTTAGTTAGCCAGAGTTTGCATTGTCACACAGCTGGCTGTCTTTTAAACTGCTGGATCACCATGGTAACCTATGTGGGATGGTTAACCTGCCTCTGGAGGATGTTATGTTCAGGGTTTTGCAGTTAAATCGACTGTAGGAAGTGCCAACCTTTCACTAGTTCTTTTGCTGACGGTATTCTCTAAATGATCCTCAGCTGAAGGAACATGTTATATCTGGAAACCTGTTGAGCTGATGCCACTGAATGAAGCAGTTACAGAAGTGCAAACTTGCAATGGGAACCTAAATGCATTCAGTTGGACATGCAGGAAATGAACAAATCCTTGGTCCTGATTTGAAGTCCACTTTACACCACTGAGACTGCAGCGAATAGAACATAGATGAGATCATTGATCAGTGTATTTATCAGAGAATAGTGGTCCATGTACCCTTCATTGTGGAACAAGGTCACACTTAAATAAACATCTTCAGTAAACAAGTTAAACAGCTCTAATGTGCAGGTTTCATGTTAGAAATAAGCGTCTGCATTGAGAGCACACTGAGTGGAAAAATAAATATATTTACTCACATAGTTAACAGTTTTACAGAGTGTTCCTCTTGTGCATCATTTATAGTAACATATTCTTTGTAGCGCTCCATTAGAACAGCCTGTTGCTCTTGAGCGAAGTAGGCAGCATGCCATCGGTTAGTTTTTTTAATGGAAGAAGAGTCTTTTTATGTGATCTTGCACAGAGCCTGGTGAAGAACACCAGAGGGGTGCACTACGAAGCAAGTTTGACATAGCCAGGCTTTCTTTGTGGAAGCCGAATCGACAAAACCTAAAGCCCCAGCCAGAGATTACGGATATCACAAAGGTGGTTATCAATTTTCTTTGTCAACTCAAGACTTTTTGCTTCAGACTCTGTGTGCGTTCACATAAAAAGGGGAGTTTAACGCGACATGTGACTCTTCTTCTGCACAATATGAACCGATTGCGTGCAGCTGCTTCAATCAACACATTGTTTTAATGGAGAACAATGAGGAATATATATATATTTTTTTAAAAATATGACCGTGCAAGACAGGAATGCTGGTAGAAAACTGTCAAACGTGTTAATATATAATATTTTACTGATGCAGCCACTTATTTCCAACTGACAGCTGAACATTAAAGATAAACTTTACACTTCATATATTTAAACATGATATTGTATTGAAGTGCATTTAGGTCTGACACTGTCCCATAATGCAGGATATCACTTTAATTTTTAGCCCAAGCAGAGCGAAATGAATGTTACTGATTGAATATTCTCTGTAATAAATACCAATAGAATAATCCATTTTATGTGTTCTATCAGCTGTAGTACCAGCAGTGTAAAGGGACTTGACAGCAAATCAGAGCCAAACATAGAAACATATTTATGTGATTTCTGCATCACCATCTTAAGATGTTAGGTTCCCATGGCAACGTGATGCTTACAGTAGGGCTGGACCCGAACATCCAAGTATCGAAATATTCGGTCGTTGTGGTGGTATATGATACATACCTGCCACCAGCCTGCACACCCCCCGCCGCCGCCACTGATGGTGGCAACAGAATTGTGACTGCCAACCTAAACTGGCATTAGCAGCCAAGTACTGCCTGTGCGGAGCGCTCGGTCTCCGTCTCCTCCATAGAAATATATAATAAAGGCTAGATGTCTCGTCCGAACGGCCACACTGGCGGCCATCTTGGCACGGTGCGCTCGTTCAACAATAACATTGTGTTGTAGTGTTGCATGTACTTATTAAATTACCATAACTTGCTCAGTTTTCTACCAATTTTTAAACGGTTTGGTTTGCTATATATGTCAGAGGTGTAGAGTGAGGTGAAGGGTGATCCTGTTCGAAATGTCGCCTTAAGACATCTAGCCTTTATTATACACATCTATGGTCTCCACCAACTGTGCGATTTTGTAACTACACGGCTTCATTCGGCGATATTAGTAACGCACAACTCAGCATGTTTACAGATAAAACACATTCCCTCAGCTGAGAATCTGTATCGCTCATAAATAATAGGAAGCAATCTGGTGAAAGGGAGATGCTCTTTCCAGCCGATTTAAACCTGAAACTCTGAACGTAGCCTGCTCCCGACCAGGTTAGCTCCACAGCATAAGTTACCATGGAGACCTATCTAAAAGAGAGCCACCTTCATGATACTGAAAACTCTGGCTTTAAGCTCAACATACCTCGCTAACCCACCACTAACCACTAATCTCGCTTCGTAGTACAGCCCTCTGGGTTAACATAGAAAGGTTGCAAATATGTCGGGATATCTATTATCTCTGATTGGGGCTTTAGGTTTTGTTGAGCCAGCTAACACAAAGAAAGCAAGGTTTTGTCAAACTAAATATGTAATACAGTCGTCAGGTGGCCATAATGCATCAAAAAACATCACAAAGTATCAGTAAAGACAGGGAAAAAGAAGTCAGGAGGTCAACATAGATGCACACCACGGGGAATTGAAAGTGAGAAAGAAAAGCTTTGACTACGTTTTCTAAAGTAGGAAAAGAAATACACAAAAAAACTTTTCTAATAAAACTCTTTGGTATCTTAAAACAGCAGCTTAATACGTGCTGGAAAAGCTCCTTTTCTAGTTGAAAGTTTCAAAACCTTTTTTCCCCTCAGACCACAATCGTCATCTTAGTGTTTTTGTTTGGATGTTATAGGGGAAAACAACAACAACAAAAACTACAATTTTAAGTCTGTTCTTGGTTCCATCCATCTATCCATCCATTATCTATACACCGCTTAATCCTCACTAGGGTCGTGGGGGGGCTGGACTGTTCTTGGTTGCCACTCAAAATTTAATTACGGCAAATGACAAAAACTATCTTGTTGTTTATGCATCTGTTAGCAGAGAAAGCTAATGACAGCTTCCACAGCAACCGTCGACAAGTGATGGAGATGACTACCAAGGGCAGCCTCCCCATGGAAGGAGTGGACATGGAGCCGGAGCCCAGTAATCCGTACAGCCCTCCCAGACAGCTGTCTACAAAGCAGAATGGACACAAGTACAAAAGCCCCCGGAGCCACAGCTCCCAGTCGCTGTGCTACAGCCCCAACGCTGCCGCCAGCCCGGTGGTGCTCAGATCCTGGGAGAGCAAGGACTCGCTGGGGCTCCGACAGAGCTACGGCCCAAAGAAACTGTGCATCATAGAGAAGGAGCTGCACACAACTCGCTACATCCCTCCACAGCCGTACTTTGTCACCAACAGCAAAACAGAAGTGACAGTATGAGTGACTGTCAACATCAAGCTTGAAATGCATTTAGGAGAGACGGTAACTGCAGCACGGACTGTAGTGTGTGCATATGTGTATGTGATGAGCACCATCTAAAGGTGACGTGTACCGTAACAAGACTCAATCACTGGGCCTCACCAAGGCACTGTGATGAACATGTCGTGTGTGATGTTCATATAATCCAACTGCTAAAGTTACATAACTCGTATATTACAGTGATGAGATGTGACACATTACGCACTGTTGTCAGTATGTACCGAGTAATCAAAAAGGACCTTAAAATTAAAGTACATTATGTAATTTCTATTAAAATATTGTCCAACTGAGAAAAAGAAAAAAAATCCTTATTCATCGAATCAAGAGCCGAGTAGTCTGCGGTTGAATGGGCATTGATGAAATGAGTCACCGGACCACAGATACTGTTTAAAAATGTCAGGATGTGCTGAAGAGTACAAATGGATGCCTCAGTTCAAGAGCTGGTGGATCAAACGCAGAGTCGGGGCTGATTTTGTTTTATTTTTTCCATTCTCATTTCATCATTCTCTCCATATGAACCCTCTCACACTCCATCGTCATTCAACATGTCTCAAAAGTCCGACTTAAATAAGAAGTGTACTCATTTAAGACAGAAAGTGCAACTTATTCAGGTTTGTTTCCAAAATGCCAATCCATTCTGTGAGATTCACAAGCTATCATTCAGTATTTCTAAAACTATACAGGAATCCGTCTGTAAAAGGTGTAACTGTTGACTTAAGATCCATTAGAAAGGTCAGTTTAATTTTTGTGAATGTGGTAGATTTGGAAGGAAAGCTTCCAGACGCATCCAGAGCCAGTTCACTGCCAGCAGACGTCCTGTTGATGCATAAGTAGGAGAGTAGCTGCAGAGTTAACAGCCAGTGTCGTGTCGGTGTAATAGTGCCTCTCACCAGTATCAGCATGTGTGATTATCCTAGAATATACTGTACGTGAAGCCCCGGTATTAGAGCGGTGATTGGTTTTATTCTTAGTAATCCATTATGCTCCCAACAAAAGTCATCCTCAGCGTGAAGACGGTGGCTCAGAGTTTGCATCATCGTAGAACCTCTTGGCTTTAATTAAACACGTGTGTTATTTTTGCGACTTTAGTCCCGAATCTTGCATTTAATGAATGTAACTGGTCCGAATGAGAGTGTTGGTGGTTGACCTGCTCATTGTTGGAGGCTAACAGTTAATTAACTTCTGTCAGAATGAATGTAAGAATGTAGTGAAGCAAAGTAAGCTTTGTTTTTCTACTACATAAATAAACTGGTCCACTGAATACATCCGGACAAGATTTTGGCTGATTGGCCCACTCACAACAATACGAGCTATGGTGAAATGTTCCAAGACTGCTGGGAATCTGTGGAAAAAGTAGTGAAAACTTACTAAAACTGGACTTCAGAAAATAGTTTTAATAGCCAGGATTTTAAGGTGCAGGTGATAATTTGTTGCTCTGATTTCCCAGCCAAGCAGTATAAAAGGACGCTTACGCCTTCCCGCAAGTCTTACTCATGCGGTTGAGTATCTGAAGAAAAACAAGGTTGCACTCGGAGCTGCTACACAAGTGAGAAGTGGGAACTGCTAGCATAACGGTGTATTTATGTCTTCTCAAGTCTCAGAAAACTGAGAAAAACAAGGCCAGAAAGGATGCACCATTTTGGATTTGAGGAGTTGTTAATATTCTCACAGACTTCCATCCAAACTTTCTGCACTGTTTTCCAATATATGCACATCTAGTGGATCAAACTAACACACAACTAATCAACCGTATCAATGATTATTTTACGATTCTATGAACTCTGCCGCGATACTCAAAGGTCAACTTTTTTTTTTATTATTTACGCCAACAATATTGTATAGTCACTACCACTGACCTCTCTTGTTTTGTGAATGCTTCTATTTCTTCATTGACAATACTGGAATCACTGTCATTAAACTATAAGTGCACTGCATCTACACATGGATGTCTACTGTAATACTGCCAGTTAAAAACATGTGTATAATGCATGTTTGGACTGCAACATCCAGTATTAAGAATGCTAGCAGCCATGTTATATTTCGGTGAAGGAAATCTCTGCAATCAAAAAGGTCTAATACGGTTCACTGTCATTTCTTTGTATCACCCTTCTCTCATTATCAGAATATGCATTTGATTAGCTAATTACTCTGAGTGTTACGTGTCTTTATGTACAGTATAAACTTACTTTGGTTTAAGATCCCCTGTTGAATATATTCACAACCTCTGTGTTTAGAGCTCTTGGAAAGTTATCGAGCTTAGCATTTAAATGTTTTCCATGCATTCTTTTTTTGTGTGTTTGTGTGTGCTGCAAAATATTAATGTAGCCAGTTTCCTGCAAAAACCTTGAATCTCTAAATTGGCACTTTTGTCATAATAAATCTGAAACTGCAGCCAAAGCCAGTGATTTTTGCTTCATTGTGGTGCTCCAATGCAGTCTGGAAATGTCCAAGGTTCATGAAACATTTTCAAAATGTGGAAAACCTCTGCGACAGCCTCTGCAAGGTTTTTTCAAGACGGTGCATGCAGACAACTTCTTTTCATGTTTTAGATACACCATCAAAATGCAGCAGTTATGGTTTCTTTTCTTTAAATGAAGGAACTGGTCTTTGGCAATCAACACCTGTCGCAGATCATTCCGCAGCAACTGTCAGCAAACTGTATTCTGCAAACGGTTTCTTCAACTGACTGGCCTCCTTATTTCGACGTAAAAAGAAAGTTTGCCGGATGACCACTAAAAAAGTGCATAACTACAAAAGCAAATGAACTAATCATCATGGCGGTAAGTTATCTGGAGCAGTCTTGGCGCTTAGTTTAAAAAGACAAAAAAACAACTTCAATTCTAAATCTAGTTGGCTCTATTTTTTCCCCCCACGCCTCCCCAACACCACACCAGATGGTATCATACCCTGGCAGAGCACTTGATTGCGATCCAAGGACCTCTTCCATATATTACGTCACATTTTATGGGGCTTTCTGTTCTCGTGTGCTCCAGCTGTAACAAAAAAAAAAAGTGAAATCTCATACTGTCGACATTAAAACTATTTTTTAAATAACTCTGTCTCATTCTCAACCTTTCTTTAAGCCACATCCTCATTTCTTGTTGATGGTTGTGATTGTATAAGTTGACCTGGTTGATTTGCCGCCTTTACTCCCAGTGAAACCAGACTGTATCCCTCAGTGGAATTACTTTCAAATTAGGCCGACAGTTCAGTTGCTCTTCTGAGCAGCAACATGCAGCAGTTAACGATGTAACAGCGTTTCTGCTAAGCTGCACTTGTTGGCTTCGGTGTTCAGTGTTACTAAGACTGATGACTTTTCCAATTCAGAAAACTTTGTTTTTGCTGCAGTTGATTTTCACATATCTGTATTTGATTGTTAAATTATTGCAGATCAAATAAAAGCTTTGGATCAGTAAAGTTTTCATACAACAGTTTGTGCTGTAAAGGTTGTTCAAGTACAAATATCAGGTGGCTACAGCCTCCCATTAACCCTCACTGGGTTCTGTGTACATTGATTTCCTAAACGCCACCTCACTTAGTCTCATGTGAAACACTCAATGCATGCTCATCTGTCAAGGCCTGCATAAGTGAAGGAGCTTAATCGACTCAGCCAAGTGCTAATGCACTTTATGGAAAGTGTGACGCTCGCCTCTTGTGGATAAATGAACTGCATGATTAAATAAAAGGGCAATAAACACCGAAAAGCACAACAATGAAATTACATAAATCAGAAAATGAAAGGAGGAAGTTCTGTTGCACAAGAATTCAAACGCTCCTGAAATACCTCAATCACTGGAAATTGTTCCACACTGGAGGAGCACTGCGGAGAGTTGATTGAGGGCATATTTGGATCACATTTCTTTTCGCTCCATGTTTGTCGGAGAATTCAATCCATTTTGCACTTGTTACTGCAGATTACTCCTGTTTACAGCCGTACTTTCTATCAAAACTTCCGCTCCAACAAGCCTCTGGGAGCACTGTCATTTTCTTGAAAATGCCAGGAGACATTTTTGTTAATTAGCAAATCATGTTTCCTACCACCAGGATGGTTCCCTCTGGAAATTAAATCAGCACAATAACCCAGTTCAGTCAGATGGAGGGGCACAGCCATGTATCTGGTCTGTGGAAAGTCTTGATCCTACAGCAAAAAAAAAAAGCAGCATGATTTTTCACACATGTGATAACACTAAATTGTATTCTTCACATGAAGTAGCAGTCAATCCATGGGGGGAAAGTACATTGAAAAACTGTTATTTCGGATTTACATACTGACAAGTGCACTAGAGTAAAAAATTAAGTGTGCCACAGGTGTTAGTTCAGAGAAACCTCTGGGAACTACTGCATGCATTTATCTTTCCTTACATAAAAGCTCCTTCCATGTGTTGTGACAGCTTTCTTCTTTTTAATTTTTTGTTTTTTTTAAGCAATTATTTACACCGACAAGAAGCCCAGCCATGTAATATTGAGAAATAGCCCCTGGATCTTTGGGAAAATAGCTTTTGCTCCAAACTACAGTTTAACACTCACATTTGAGCAGAAAGACCAGCAGAGAAGCAGACAGGCAGCGGTTCAAATGAACAAACCTGCTATTTGTGCTTCCCCAGTGGCTTAAAAATGGAAAAAACCATGGTTTGGTACTAATTTGAATCCCTCAAATGATCAAAAATGATCGAAATTGTTGTGCAGCATTGTCAAAATAAGTTGCAGTTTCTTGCAAAGATATTTTTTGTTGAATTTCCTTCGGCTTAATCATTCTAACTATTATAATCTGCCTTGAATTTAAAGTTTTGAGCAATTTTTATACAGAAATGCTCATTCGTGTGCCTATTGGCTGGAAAAATAAGACAATGAAGGACCAAACAAAGCTCATAACTCATTAGAATTATGCTATCGGGACATCAGCATCTGTTTAAACAAGTCTGAGCCGCAAATTCACACTCAGTATCTTGACTGCAACATTG